AGACTTCCCTGCTGAGGAAGGAGCCTCATGTGGGAATCATTCCAGGACCCTGGGATCATGACCCCAGCTAAAGGCAGACGCATAATCACTGCACCACCCAGGCATCCCTTTGGTCTGTCTTTGCAGCCGGCTCCCCCTCTCTAATACTTGGGAGTTCTGCCACACTCAGACACCCCCATTGTTTCTGTTACCTCAAGGCACCTGAGACCACACTGTCCCAAAGAGGGTTCCACCCCCCTGCTTAGCCTCTGTAGTGATGTCCCTCAGTAGAGCCGACTTCTAAAAGTTCTGATTTTGTGCTCCACTGCTCTACTGCTTGCCGGGAGCCGCTCCACCCCCTCCCCTCATGGTCTCTCATCCTATATGATGACTCAGATTCACTTCTCTGCACGTCCTACCTTCCAGAAAGTGGTTGCTTTTCTGTTCCCAGAGTTGGGCTGTTCTTTTCTTTGATCTCCTGTTGAGTTTGTAGGTGCTCAGAATGGTTTGATAACTAACTGAATTCCTGGGACCTATTGAAATTAAGGTCTCCTACTCCTCGCCATTTTGCTCCTCTCCCAAACTATTGTGTTTTCATTTTCATTTAATTTTTGAATTCTTTGTTGACCCATTCATTGTTTAATAGCATGCTATCTAACTTCCATGTATGATGCTCTTTCTAGATTTTTTTCTTATAGTTTATTTCTAGTTATACAGTGCTGTGTTCAGAAAAAGTGCATGGTATGACTTCAATTTTCTTGAATTTGTTGAGACTTGTTTTGTGGCCTAATTTGTGATCTCTTCTGGAAAGTGATCCATGTGCACTTGAAAAGAATGTGTATTCTGCTGTTTAAGGATGGAATGTTCTGAATATGTCTGTCAAATCCATCTGGTCCAGTGTGTCATTCAAAGCCACCATTCCCTTGTTGATTTTCTGTTTGGATGATCGGTCCATTGATGGAAGTAGGCTGTTAAAGTCCCCTACTGTTATTATATTACTATGGATTAATTCCTTTATGTTCATTATTAACTGTTTTATGTATCTGGGAACTCCCATATTGGGTACATAAACATCTACAATTGTTATATCTTCTTGTTGGATTGTCCCCTTTATTATTATATAGTGTCCTTCTTTGTCTCTTGTTACTTAACTAATCAAAATTATAGAGACTCAAAAAAATGGTGGTTGTCAGGATGCTGGGGAGAGGGAGAAATATGGAATTACTGTTTAATGTAATGTATGAAGTTTTTTTTAATGTAATGTATGAAGTTTCAGTTTTGTAAGATGAAAAGAGTTATGGGTACCAATGATGGTGGTAGTTGCACAGCAGTATGAATGTACTTTAGACCACTGAACGGTATGCTTCAAAATGGTTAAGATGGTAAATTTTGTATAATATGTATGTTTCCATGATAAAATAATTGGAAAAAAAAAAAAAAAGAAACACTGGACTAATGCATTGGCAGAGTCCCTTTTAGCTCTGAGTGGGTATAACTTTATGAGACCGAAGTTGGGAGCTAGTTTATTTGACATTTATCAGCCAGGGCTCTCTACAATCAAGGGCACATCTAGATCCCTACAGGGTAAAAATTAATTGGAAATAGCTAATCTTAATAGAAAAGAGGGAAAGAATGTCTATTCCTGGTCACCTGCTATGGAGAATCTATCGACTTTCGCTAATGATATCATCAAAGCTGTCAGAGAATCTGCATTCTAGTTGGGGACAAGTTGTGGAGGTGCTTTCTTACTGAGACAGAATAAGATACTAAATGGAGGGGAGAACAACTCACTCATGTCCATGAGACCTGGGTTCCAATTTTGGCTGTGCTACTGATTTCTATTTGGTATACATTCATTGGGTTTTGACTGCCAACATCTCAATCCCCTACCTATTCATGAGAAAATCCACAGAGCTCATCTCCTGCCACTTTCCTGGGCTTTAGGATCTGGAGTGATGCCTCTAGAAGATGCAAACTTTCATAATTCAGTAATGGAGACTCCACTGTGCGCATCTGGTGTCCAATGGGGGAGGCCCAAGCAGAGCTAGTCAGTGTTACAGTGTCTGTGGTGGCCTGTGACTAGTGTCTCCCTAACCAGGTCATTCTTTCTTTGGTTGATATCTGAGCCTGGCCTCCAGCCTTGTTTCTCTTTTCACTTAAGTCCATCAGAGTTGGTTTCTCTTGTTTGCACAATTATGTAATTTTATATAAATCAAGTTGCCAGCATTCAGTTTCAAATTAAGCTCCTTGGAGTTCTAGGATGAATGATTGGAAACTAAGGAATCACATTTTTGGTCATGGGGTTAGAATACAAGTATGCTTATATTTTCTTCCTGGCCAGGAGGTGAAAGGCTGGGTTTAAGAAGCCATCATGTATGTGTTCAGTTATTGGTTACAGCATGGTTTGGGGTAGCAGAAGACTAGAAGCAACAGGGTATTACATATGGAAGTCACTATTGCATACCATGCAGCTAGTAATGAAGGATGAGGGAAATCTCTAAGAACTGATAAAGTGAGATCTCCAAAATAAGTCATTGGGGGGAAAAAAGCAGTATTAAAGAGAGTGTATACAGTATACTTACCTTTTTTTGTAATAAGAAAGAGGGAAAAATAAGATTTATTTGCCTAGTGAGATATTGGAAGGACAAGTAAGAAATTAACACAAGTGGTTACCTTTCTGGGTAAGAGCAGATGGGACAGGAGAAAGACTTTCACTATTGGTTTGCTTTTGAAATAATGTAAATATGTTAATTTTTTAAGAAAAGGAAAAGACTTATAAGATTTAGGTTCTTTCTCTCCAAATATAACATATATGATATATAAATAAATAATTTATATGACATTTATATTGTCATGTCATTATATGGCATTTATATGATCTTTATATGACATAAATAAGTTATTTATATGATATATAAATAAAATCTATCACTTATCTATCTAGAATATTTTTTTAATTTGGTGTGATAATTTGTTCTTGTAGTTACAGTAAAGGCCTTGAGAAGCTGGATGACCTGAATAAAGAAAGAGCAAGGAGCAAAGCCAGAGCATACATAGCATTTGACCCTAAAGCACACTAAAGCATTTGAATTTTATGCCAAGAGCAATCCAAAGTTCCTGAAGAGGGTTAAGAAAGGGAAAGACTGAAAACAATTTCTTTCTAGCACTTTGTGCCGCTCAATTTTTTTCCCATTCACTGATAGAGTAAACTAAAGTTTTTGGTAGCTCCCAATACCATATCACAATCATTACAATGTATTGCCCATATTTCAGGGCAATACATTTTTTGAAATGTATATAAAACCCAATACTGTTAACAGACTGATCATCTAATGTAAAAACCATTCTTTCAACTAAATCAGCTTTTCTTAAAAACTGAAGAGATTTGATTTTGAGGTTTAGAAAGAAAGATCAGTAATTGGTGCCAGTCCGTATATTACTGACTTCATAACCACTAATAAAAGCTAGTGATTGCTTTATTGAAAGTGTGTTGAGATGTATTTATTTTAGTTCTACCATGAATAAGTTTAGGGAGAAAACCAACAGTGAATTCTAGAAACAAATTAACCAGAAATCAAATTTCTCTCTCTCTCTCTCTCTCTCTTTCTCCCTTTCTTCCTTCCTACCTCCTTCTAGTTTCAGTTTAGCTGTCTTTTTTGTAGGGTGGTGCTTTTCAAAGTGAGGCCTTTGAACTCTGGGATCCTTTTAGGAACTGGCAAGGTAAAACTTATTTTCAGAATAGCACTAGGGTGTCATTTGCTCTCAATGTATTGACATTTCCACTGGTAACATAGAGTCAGTGGGACATAAGGGTGCTGGCATCTTAGCATGAATTAAGGCACTAGCACCAAACCATAATACAGTGGTAATCACTGACATTTTCATCCACACATATTTTTAGTTTAAAAAATAATGTCAGTTTCAATTAAAAATGTCTTTGATAAAGCAGTACATATTATACATTCTACTAAATCTCAATCCTTGAATCATTTTAATATTTGTGCCATGACGATTGGAAAGTATGTGTCAAGTGTTTTTGTTGTGTATTGAAATATGATAGATAGGATAGACAATGATAGAGATTTTTAAGATTTTTAATATCACTCTTGGTAGTTTATTACTCTCTTTTCCAGTGAAATGGAGCTAACATTACCCATTTTATGGGGTTGTTGCTGGGATTAGAAGATGCCTGTAAAATGCATGCCATGATTCCAATTGTCCCTTGATGGTCTTGGTTATGGACATAAATATGTGATTAAATATGTTGACTTTATCTGGGTCTTATATTCCTCTCTGATGGCTTTACTAGCACATTCCTGGGGTATGTTTAGTCCTATAGCTTTCCCCCTCATCAGCAAATGATATCTCCATACAAGGAATACTTAGGCATTTTTCTTCATCCCCTATAAGGAGAATGAATTCAAGTGGTAACCCCTAAGCAACGATTGTTGTTGCTTTTAAACAGAAAAAGTGATGAAGTCTGCTACAGAATATTCTTTATGGAGAGCTGGAAAACCTGCTATGACACTACATTATCCTAAAGCTATCCTGGAACCTTAGTGAGTTTGAGTGACAATTTCCAAGAGGGGAGATTATAGAATTATATTACTGCTTTGAAAAATCCCTACTCACAACCTTAACTTTTCCCCTTCACTTGACAAACTAGTCCTAAAAACCATTGTCATTACTACTGTTTTCTGTTTCTTCAGATTCACCTACAGCCCCTCTCAGAAATCCTTGGCTGTGATGTCTTGAGATTTTGGAACAACCTGACTCATTATTGTGACTAGAAACCAGATAATGAAATTTGTGTTTGGCTTAACTACCAGGGAAAAGAGCATGGAGACATAAGCCACATTTAGTCTTTCTAGTAGCTTACTTTGATCAAATGTCAGGGTTATGAATAATAGAAATCATGGTTTACTTGGAGAGTTGACTAAATAGTGCAGAGTTACTATGTTATTCCAATGTAAACAAACATGACTTTTGTTGTCTTTGTCCTTTCTTTCTACAGATGTAGTTTAAAAGTTTTATATTTTAATGATGTGGATTTCATTACCATTGATGACATCTGATCGACAACTTATGAACATGAATTGGAAGATTAATTGTCTAGGGGAAAGTCTGGAAAAGACTGGAGAATTTTTCATTAACAGGTAGGTATCCTTTCTGAAGGGAACTTTCCCAGTATCTAGTCATGGGACACTGTGATAGAAACCCACTCTGAGCCTGCTGGAGAGAACTTGGATAATAGTATTGGAAGAAATTTATGTGAAGTCGGTTTTTCCACATTAGCATATTCTAAGTTCTGAATGGCTTTGTTTGCCTAAGCACTGATGAATTTATTCTAACATTGGATTATTGGAGACACTCACTGTTCTGTTCCTTTCTTTTACTTCCTGATATTTGTGTATTTCATTACTCATAAGCGATTACAACAAAGGATGAAGATTATAACAAAGAAGAGATTTATGGCAAGATGGAAGTCTGATGGCCACTTTCAGCTTGACTTTCCTCATTTATAAGAAAAGAATGATAATATTTCTTATTTAATAAAATTATTCTGAGGATTAAAAAAGATAATATGCATAAAGTACTCAATATAGTGGCTGGTACAAACTAAGATCAACAAATATGAATTGCAAACCATTTTATGTGAATTAGTTTTGTTGATTAAGAGGAAAAGGGGGGGTTCAAATTATTGACTGGAGTGAGGCCTAGATTTTATCTCTGTTTCCATGAGTCTCTCCAGAATTAGCTGGTCAGAAATATTATCAACAATGTGTTCATGAACCCACTCAAATAATGGTGCTTCTGAACTTCCTGATCTAAATGCATGAATATTTTAGTTTAAGCGAATTCAATGTGGGATTCTACTCTACTGGTCTCATTGTATGTGTCAGGTGGGACGGAGATGCAACCAACAGAAACTGGACTAACAGTGGCTTAAACAAGGAAAATATTTATAAAGTCACACAACTAGAAGTCTGAAGATTGATTAATTTAGTGGAACAATGGGACCCAGGGACTTTTATCTTATCACTCTGCTGTCCTCATCACATCAACCTTATCTCCTGATTGCTAGATGGCTGCCACAGCCTAAATAATTAATCTTGTACTTTCTATGGAAATGGAGTGGAACTCCAGTCGACTATTTCACATGCTTAATATGCGGTGATGGGAGAAAGTTCTCTCATATCTCAGAACTAGAAATAGCTATGATTCCTTTGAGCAACCTAAAGATTTTTTAAAAGAGGTATTTATTTATTTATTTGAGAGAGAGAGAGAAAGAGTCCATGTAAGTGGGGGGAAGGGTAGAGGGAGAGAGAGAATCCTCAAGGAGACTCCGTGCTGAGCCCTGGCACAGGGCAGGATCCCAGGACCCTGAGCTCATGACCTGAACCAAAATCAAAAGGCAGCTGCTCAAATGACTGAGCCACACAGGTGTCCTCCCCACCCAAAATATTTTTTTCTTTGAGTATAGTTGACACACAATGTCACAATAGTTAAGGTATATAACATCATGATTCAACTTCTCTTGTAGGTTATGCTATGGTCCTCACAAGTATGGCTGCCATCTGTCACCATACAAGGTGATTATAATATTATTGACTATATCCACTTTTCAGTAAATTTGTTTTGGATATGTCTATGTATAACCTTATGTATATGTATGTCCTTATGGGTATTTAAATCTTCACTAGACCTTTGTTTTGGATGAAAGAAACCTTATGGGTATGTCCTTATGGGTATTTAAATCTTCATTAGACCTTTGTTTTGGATGAAAGAAACCTCATAGCTAAATCTGTGCTTTCCTATAGCACATGACTGGGAGCCTACTGTTTGTATAGCAAGACACACCTGAAAGGGACCTGGCTGCCTGGCTGAGGGACAATCTTTCCACAATAGAAGCCCTGTTGGAGCAGAGGAGCCCTGGTGGGGAGTAGTCATTACTAGAGTCTGCTTTTAGCTCTGTCCCTTTCTGGGGGTGTGTTCTGGGGTAACTTGTGTATACTTTCTAAGCCATTCATGCAACATTGTACATCTTCAAATCTTATACATTTTCCTTTCATCCATTGGAAAATTAGTGGATGTTTTTCATGAAATGAAAAACATGAAGCCCTTTTGAAGAAGATGCCCATCTTGCAGGACAGTTAGAAGCAAGAAAATTACACTCAAAGTCTTGTCTTCTCTGTGTTAGAAATAAAAGGCTTGTCTTTTCTTTGCATTGTTTGCAGGTTTGAGTGTTGGAAGTAGCGGAAGGAGTCCAACTGGTAATAGTGTTACTGTATCTAATGTTGAGAAAATAGCATTTTCAAGACATGTGAAATAGTCACCCCCTCTAATTTTTTAGTATATTAAGCAACAACCCAAAAGCTAATTAAAAAGAAAATAATTATATGGGATGTAAAACTCCTCAGTGAAGGAGTCACAGTATAAAATAATGATCGAATATCTTTCAGGGGTGATCTTTTAGAAGTTAGTTTGTGCTTTTGCAGTGGGTGATATAGGATATTGTAATATTGTTCAAAGGACAGACAACACTTCAGTATTGTCCAGTGATTCTCAATGTCTCCTTGTGGGTCTGTTCCCTAGTAAGTCAACCAGATGCGAGAGCTGTGCCCTGAGCAACTCCATAGTCAAACTATTTGTTGACCAGTGCAGGGTATCTGACTAGTGATATGTTCTCAGTAATTTACAACCTTGCTCATTTGGCTGACAAAATATTTTCTCCTGGGCTGAATTGCTCTCTCTATTAATGTTGCCTAAATATGAATTAAATGATCTTTAATTTATGTGGAAGAATATTGTATTTTGTATATGCTTTGTGTTTTGATACCAATTTGCAAGAAATTCTCTCCTGTGAAATGTGTTTTGCATTGCTGTTTCCATCTCCTTTTCTTTCCCATGAAAGGGCTGTATTTGGTTCCCTTTCTCCTAGTGCTCAGGCTCTTCTGGAGGAAAACTTTTGAGGCAGCTCTCTGATTTAAGAATGCTATTTAACTCAAGAAATATCCCAAGGAAATGATCATGTTTCAAGATCCCAAGAGGCCAATTACTCTGGAAAAGTTTCCAGGGGCTTAAGAAGTTCCCCTGAAGTCAGAAATTGTAGCAATCCTGGCTAGTTGTCTATCTAGGACAAGCACCCATCCACACCTTCCTCATACCCATAGGAAGACAGTGGAGGCTGACTCCAGCTCTTCTCCAGTGGTGGGTCCTAATTCACGTGAGCCAACCTTGAAGTTCAAGCCTCCTTTTCAGGGTGTGGTTTGGGGTGGGCATGTGAACTAAGGAGGCTCAATCAGACTGAAGGGAATGGCTTTTATTCTATGATAGGGGCTGTAATTGTTCTTTTTTTTTTTAATGTGTCATCTTTTTTTTTTTTTTAAGATTTCATTTATTTGGTTGTCAGAGAGAGTGCGCACAAGCAGGGGTAATGGCAGGCAGAGGGAGAGGGAGAAGCAGGCTCCCCACTAAGCAAAGAGCCTGATGTGGGACTCAATCCTAGGACCCTGGGATCATGACCTGAGCTGACAGCAGATGCTTAACCCAGGCATCTGAGCCACCCAGGTGTCCCTATGTGTCATCTTGAGACAGTTCTGACAAACACAAGAGGAGAGCCTTCTTCTCTTTCAAATGGACATGAGAAAGAAGGCACAATGTTCCGGTTGCTGCTGCCATCATCCTGAGACCACAAGTGCAACCTCTGTATGAGGACAAAGCTGACATTCAAAAGAGGGGAGAACCCAGAGAACTGCAGAGAAAGAGAGAAAAAGCCTTGGGGATTTAGCCTTGTGAGAAAACAAGTTCCTTAATTGTTTAAATCTGTATGAGTCAGAGTTTCTCTTGCTCTAGCAACATATTTACCCTGTTTCTACTTAGCAGCTACTATGTGCCAGGCGCTGTCCTAGGTACTGGCTGTGCAGCAGTGAACGATCTGGTTAAAGTGCCTACCCTCATGAAACGTCATTTCTGGTAGCAGAAGGAATACCACATGAATGTGTACTGTGATGTCAGGTAATCAAGCAGAGTGTGAGATAGGGAGGGTTGTTGGGTGGTCATGGCTCTGAGAGGCATGCTATTTGGTCAGCAAAGTGAATAATGTGAGGGAGCCAGCCATTAAAACATTGGAGGATAACACTTTCCAGACAGGGGGATCAGCAAATTCAAAGGTCCCGAGCAGGAAAGTGCTTTGTATGCTTTAGAAAAAAACTGGGGGGCCGGTACAGCTGAGTGAGATGGAGCTTGGTGGTGAGAGTGAGAGTAGGTCCCTAGAGGCTGCAGAAGGGAATTTCCCATCTATGCCATGGGAACCTATTGGAAAATACTGAGAATGGGGTTAATTGCAGCTCAAAGCATCCTAATGGTTACAGGGTAAAGTAACTTGGACCTGAAGATGCAACCTTCAAAGACCAGCACACTGTGATACCAGGGCTTGCCTTTGAGCCTTTGAAAGGTCATTATACTTACTTAATCTTCAAGGAACTCATCAGATCAAATAATTATTGCTGCATTTCTTTCCTTCCTTCCTTCCTTCCTTCCTTCCTTCCTTCCTTCCTTTCTCTTTGTTTGTTTCTTTCTTTAAAAGTGTGGGGCTTGGGGAACCTGGGTGGCTCAGTGGGTTAAAGCCTCTGCCTTCGGCTCAGGTCATGATCCCAGGGTCCTGGGATCGAGCCCCGCATTGGGCTCTCTGCTCAGCAGGAAGCCTGCTTCCTCCTCTCTCTCTTCCTACTTCTCTGCCTACTTGTGATTTCCGTCTGTCAAATAAATAAATAAAATCTTAAAAAAAAAAATGTGGGGCTTGAACTCATGACCCTTAGATCAAGGCCTGAGCTGAGATTGAGAATTGGATGCTTAACTGACTGAGCCACACAGGCACCCCTGTTGGCATTTTTGTAGTTCTGAATGACCCATAACTGTATACATAGGGGAAAACTATACACATATGGGAATATACATATGATATTGAGAAAGTGCCTATTTTCCTAAGAATTAAAATATTATTTTATTTTTTTTTACATTTTTAAAATTCATTTGAGAGAGAGAGAGGGAGTGAGAGTGAACAAGAGCACAAGCAGAGAGGTGGGTCACAGGGAAAGGGAGAAGCAGACTTTCCTGGGCTGGATCCCAGGACCCCGGGACCACAATCCGAGAC